CTGGTGCTCTTCAGTGTGAGACACTGTGACACACCCCTGCGCACACTCACAGCCTGTATCTCCAGCCAGTCTGGTGCTCTTCAGTGTGGGACACTCTCTGACACATCAGTGCTCCATCCCACAATCCCCCTCCCCCTTTACCCTGTCCTGGAGGGTTAAACCGGAATTATGGAGCGCTGGAGCTCTGTGAGGTCAGTCCGTCTCTTGCTCTATATATAGTTCCTTTCTACCTGTCCCTGTCCCTCCTCCCTCCCTCTCTCGCTGCCCCAGATGTCATCACTGTCTCATAACCCTCTCCGCTGTAATAAACCCCCCCCCCCGCTGACAGACCCGCCGTTCACATAGCAACAACAAACAGCCGGCAGTAAGAGCAGCGTGTGAGCGCTGGCCGACTGTCCCGCTAATGAAGAACAGCGGTCCGCCCGCTGCGCTCCTGAAAGAGCCGCTGCTCTCCACGGCGCACGATCAATCACACGGGCACCGGCGGCAAGCTTGCTCGTGAGACTGGGCTGGGGTTGTGACGGCATGTTGTTGTGTGTTGTGCAGGACAGAGCGGAACAGCACGAGGTGTGCTCACACCAGTACAGACCACTACACACCACTACAGATTAGTACATAGCATTGCAGACCAGTACAGTTAGAAAACACCAGTAAAGGACCATTGTACACCAGTATAAACCAGTATACATCAGCCTGTTAGTACACACCAATACACACCAGTACATACCTGTAAAGACCAGATATTGTACAGACCATGACACCAGTACATACACCAGTGCAGGCTAGTACACACTAGTGCAGACCAGTACACACAGCAGTACAAACCACTCCAGACACCAGTACAGACCATTACTTATCAGTACTGAATAGCACATCTCAATATGGTCCTGTGCAGACCAGTACATATCAGTACAGACTAGTATATCTCAGTGCAGTCCAGTACAGATCACTATATACTGTATCAGTACAAACCAGTACATCTCAGTTCTGTCCAGTACAGACCAGTATATTTCAGTGCTGTCCAGTACGGACGAGTATGGTCTTGTACAGACCAGTACAGACCAGTACATCTCAGTGCTGTCCAGTACAGACCAATAGAGGAGCTTCCCCCAGTGGCAGCACACTCCCACCAATTACAGAGCACGCCCCCCAGTGGCAGCACACTTCCCCCAATGACAGAGCATGCCCCCCAATGGTAGAGCACTCACCCAAGTGGCAGCACACTCCCCACAATGACAGAGCACTCACCCAAGTGGCAGAGCCCTCCACACTTACCCCAAGGCCCCAGGTGTCAGGTGTCCCGCCTTCCTCAGTCTTCTTCAGTCTCCCTCTGCTTCCTCGGCTTCAGTCGCCGTCTGCCCCAGCAGCCCCCCTCCCTGTCTGCAATCACTGCTCCAGACAGGCTGGGTCTGGAGCCCCAGGTCAGCGGCTGGACCCGGGTGCGAGAGGCTGGGCGTCAGTCCTTGGATCTCCCTCTCTCTGGCTCACGCGGTCATCCCTTGTCCCCTGCGCAGGGTCTTCTGCCCCTCTCCCAGTCCCTCTCCTCTCTGCGGGAGACAGTCTGACCCACTCCCGGATCAGCTGGAGAGGAGACTGAGAGAGAGCAAGGCAGGGATCGGGAGGGAGAGTGAAGAGAGGGAGGCGCGCAAACAGAAAGAGAGAGGGAGGGAGAGTGACAGAGGGAGGAGGAGGTGACTCGGACTTAATTGAAGGGAGCGTCTCGAAAGTGCCAGGAGCGATCAGAGCTGCTGACAGGAGGTGCACGGCCAGTAGAG